TACAGGTCAGGTACACGGTGGAGCCCTGGACAGCACTGATGCTCTGAGCTGAGACACACACACACACACATGTTAATAAATTTACCCTACACAGGCTCTACAATGGCGAAGCCATATTTAACTGACCGTTACCAGTGTGTGAATATTAATGGACAGCCTTCCCCAGTCAGCCCAGTGCAGTATGGGGAGCCTCAAGGATCAGTTTTAGGCCCTTTACAGTTTACAGTTTACATGCTACACTGGGAGACATTATTAGAAGACACGGGATCAGCTTTCACTGCTCTGCAGATGATAATCAGTTATATATTTCAACTAAACCTGACGAGACGCTGAACTGTCTAAACTACCTGAGTGTGTTAGAGATGTTCAAGACTGGATGAGCAACAGTTTCCTTCTCTTAAACTCAGACAGAACAGAATTATTACTTATAATTACATTAATTCTCATAATTAATGAATATATTAATTACTCATAATTATTACTCAAAATCATATATCCCATGTCACAAAAACTGCCTTCTTTCATCTGAGAAATATCGCTGAGTTATGAAGTGTGCTCTCCATCTCTGATGCAGAAAGCTAGCCCATGCTGTTATGAGCTCTATGCTGGATTACTGTAATGCTCTGTTTGCTGGCTGTCCAGCATCCTCTATTAACAAACCTGATGCAGCAGCCAGAGTTCTGACCAGCTCTAGAAAATAAGATCATATCACCCCAATGTTCTCCTCCTGACACTGGCTGCCTGCTCAGTTTCATATTGAATTTAAAATATTACTCCTCACCTGTAAAGCTCTAAATAATCCAGCTCCTGTTTATCTAAACAACCTTCTGTCTCGCTACAATCCAGCTCGCTCTTTAGGATCTCAAAACTCAGGGCTTCTGGTAGTACCTAGAATAGCAAAGTCCACTAAAGGAGGTCAAGCCTTCTCCTTTATGGCTCCTAAACTCTGGAATAGCCTTCCTGATAATGTCAGACACACTCTCCCAGCTCAACACCAGATTAAAGACCTGTTTAGATCTGTTTAGTAGAGCACACACTCAGTGCAGCACTCAGAAGAAAACTACAGCTCTGAGGTGATCTATGAGCACACACACACGCGCACACACACACACACACACACGCGCACACACACACACACACACACTGACTCTCTGACTGACGCTGACTGTATTTCCTGCTGCTATTTATTCTTCATCAGGATCCTCTGCGTCTGTGTTTCCGTCTCCTCCACTAGACCAGTGTCTTATTTTAGAGTTCGTGTCTGGTCAGGAATTAATCTCACATCTTTAATCACTGAATAAGCCTGTACCGGTATTAAACAGCATGTGTTTAGATCAGGAGTGACCCAACACCTTCACTTTAGAAACGTTTAAGAGAACGGAAAGTCTGTGCTGATGTATTGATCATGTCTCAGCTGGGCTGATTCCTGACTGTGCTTCTGTCATATATCTCTGGAAGAGGGAAATCTTCTCTAATACACACGTGGACAATACAAACACTGTCAGACAGCCTCATCCACTCTCCAGCATGCTGCAAACCACAAACCAGCCAGTGTGGAGCTCTGCTGTAAACTGATGAAGACAATCACCACTAACAACACTGAGCAGTGTGTGTGTGTGTGTGTGTGTGTGTGTGTGTGTGTTTCCTACCTGAGGTGTCCTGTGTGCTCAGATGTGTAAAGCTGAGTAAAGAGCTGAGCAGGATCATGATCATCATCTCTGAGACTGAAGCAGCAGATCTGCAGACGGAGATCCACATCAGTGTGTGTGTGTGTGTGTGCGCGTGTGTGTGTGTGTGTGTGTGTGTGTGTGTTCACCCACAGAAGGCCAGCAGGTGTCGCTCACACTCCAGTGTCTGTCTGATCAGGACTCTTTGTTTTGTCAGTGTTGTTGGGGCAGATTTGGTTTTTCCGTCACATCTGGGCTCTTCAGCTCGACAGGTGTCTGTGGATATCAGCAGTCAAAAGAATATATTAGTCCCTAAACATTTCAGACGAACACGTTTGTTCCTTTTAGGCACTAATATGTTCTCTTGAGGTATAAATAAGGTAACGGTACCACCCCTGTGCCAGCTCATGTACATTTATTTCCGAGAGTGCACTGTACTGTACTGTAGTGAAGACACATCAAACCAGGGTGTGAACAACAGGGGATGTAGGGGAATCTCTGCTCCCCTCATTAAGGCTCAGCCTCACCTGAAAAACATGATTTGTGAAATTTTGGGGGTCTCAAATATTATAATGTGCTATTCTGACATGGGTTTCAGTGATGTGATCATGGAATATTATGTGTAAAATTGCAATAATATCATTCATTCATGCATGACGGCGATTTCCACCCTCAGTTTAAAAAGAGGACTACACCTGTGAACTACACCTGCTGTTCTTGTCATGAGCATGAGGGGGCGCTGAGGAGCAGTGTGTGCTCACTCAGATCTGTCCCTATAATCCCTGTATCCCCATCTAATGCAGATAATGAGCTGGAGGATAGTTCTGGATCTCTTGGTTATTGTCATTTTTGTTCAGATCAATTTTTAAATAAATTAATTTTGCAATAAAATCTTCAATATTTAATGTAAAAACATGATTATTAAAATCTACATTTATAGTGCTGTAGTTTGCATACAGCATGTTTAAGCAAGTGTGCTCTTCATAGCACAACATATAATGTGATATCTCAAAAACAGAGTTATCCTCAGTCTGGAGTCAGTTTAGACTGCAGTATTATTCTATATGTGTGTGTAATATACTGTAATGTGCTACTCTGACATCTTTAGACAAGAATCTTTCCTCTTCATTAACTATATCTGCAGATCAGCTACTGACATCTGAAACAACCAATGCAGAGAGACGATATCTGAAGTGCTTATATCTGTGTGCTGTTTGTCTTATTGTCTTGGTATCTACATCAGCAATTCATCCAGAACCAGTATTATGTGTGCAGGTTACTCATTCTGCCCAGAGCTCCTCAGTTCTTCTTTATCTGGAAGAGTAATGCTCAGTTCACTATAGTGAACGTCAGTCAGGCCTGTAGTCAGCCTGGTGAGGGGGGTGCAGGTTCCATCTTCTCAAAAACTGGACCTTTCTGCAGTTATACGCCTCAGTTTCTATTTAACTGTGCATACTGCACTTTGGGGAATTTTTGCTGGATTAGCTAGTCTGATCATCATAACCACATTTTTTGATGTACTAAAAATTTGCAATAAACAAAAGTAAAGCAAGTCTAATTTTTCAAATGTATTACATCATATATCAATAGGAAAAATAGGAATCTGTTAAATAAGTTTTAAAGTAAAAGCCTGCTGTCATTTATTAGACAAAACCCAAACTGGCCAGCACATTCAACTGATCCCACTCACAATTTGGCTATTTAAAAAAAAAACATAATAATAATAATAATAATAATAATGATGATGATGATGATAAAACAATAATAATGAATTCGTCAGAATGTTTCTAGCCCCTTTGGTTGTACATTTGAAAATTCCTGAATATCAACAATAGCCAAAATATATACAAATGACTTTACTATGGTCCGCTTCTGGTGCTTCACACCTTTTTATTGCTCATTTTTATTTCAGGAATAAGGTCCAAGATTTAGAATAAATTACCTGTAAAATGTTTTCTGTTCAAAAACAATACAACAGCCGACAGAGCACTGCGCTTGGTCTTAAAGCCTTTTTCGATGGATTAATTTCATTATTTATGATGGCGGAGCAGTCAATATAGGGCAATTGAGCTCATGTATGGGAGAAATTCTGGACGTTTGTCAGTGAGAACCCCCTGGCTACAGGCCTGCATACACAGTCTGTCAGTGTTTTACATTTCTAAGGTTCCTCTGCATTTCCAGCTGCAGCACTGAGACTGATGAGGATGAGGATGATGAAGATGAGGATGTGCTGGGGCTCCTCATCCTGCTCTTAAAGACGGATATTTTGTTCCAGTTTGTTGATGCTGATGCTGAACTGTACACTACACTGCCATTATGATACTGCTCTAGACATGTGCCGTATACTATTTTCAATTTACTTTGTCTATGACCTTCTGTGTGAAGCTGTTTTGACGCAATCTTCATTGTAAAAGCGCTGTACAAATAAAGCTGACTGATGACTTTCTTGGTGGGCTCGGTGGCGATGTGGGTTTCACAACTGCATCACAGCAAGGTCTCTGGTTTGAGTCTCGGCTGGGTCAGTTGGTGTTTCTGTGTGGAGTTTGCATGTTCTCCCCGTGTTGGCGTGGGTTTCCTCCACAGTTCAAGCACTGCATCAGACTCCTGTGCGGGGACTGATGCTGCAGTTCAGTGGTGCTGCGCAGAGTTCCCCCTTCTCCATCACTGACTAACTGAAGATCATCAGAACAGCGCATCACACTGCTGCGTGTGTGTGTGTGTGTGTGTGTGTGTGTGTGTGTTCCGTGCACCGACACTGAACTCAACTCTGCTCATGCTTAACTCCACGTGACAGCCCACTCCTAGCCACGTGACCCGCGCATGTTGTGTAAGGGTTACAGAATCAGACCCTTAATACTGCTAATATCGCCGTAACGACTGCCTGAGCCTCCGCCGGGTCTGCTGTGACGGGTTCTGGGTAACAGTAGAAGACCCCCACTGACATATGTGGACCCTCAGACCAGCGTGTGTCACTGAAACTACAGCACAGCTATCTGCGCTTTAATTGGCTCAAACTCCTGTCAATCTCCAATGGATACTAAACGCATTTTCATTGGCTCCTCCAGCAGTCATTC